AAACAAAACAAAAAACCCCAACTAGTTTGTTTAGTGCCATCTTTGGCAAAGTCAAAGCTTCATATTTATGCCATGATTATATTAAGCTTATTATTCAATCTCTTTAATTATGAAAATTAGAAAAAAATGGGATCTTATTGTAATTTCAAAATAATTTACTGATCTTTCCCATAAAAGCCATGCTTAGCAAACATTGATAAATGTGCTTTTATCCAACAAGGTTAAAAGAAACTCAACTCACTACTAGTCCTGAAATGCAAATTAAACTAACCATAAGATATAATTTTTCCACTAACCATTAAGATACAAAAAATTCAAGTGAGGTAACAGCTATCACTAGTAGAGGTTTGGTTATATAAGACAACCAATCACCAAACCTTCCTATATACTTACATATACACGCTTTTGTAACTATGCAAGCATTAAAAAAAATATATAGAGAGAGATGCTCAGAAAAGCTACTTGGCATGGGGAATATGCAGGCAAGTAAAAATTGGAAAAAGGAGCAATTAAAAACTTATGATTCCATTTAATATGTCTTATATATATTCAGCATTATATATGTAAAACATATATACATATATAAAGCATATGTGTCTTATCTGCATAAAAAATTAGAGGAAAATGCAATTAAATCTTTAATAACTAAGTTACTTTGTTAAGTGAAAAAGGAAAAAAATTAATGTGTATAGTATTCTATTACAGAAAAGACAAATCATTTAAGTTTTTAAAAGCCAGGAGAAAGTGGAAGGACATATAAGGAGCTAACACTAATTCCTTCTATGGGATGAAACTGGAAGGGGAGCTTTGCTTTCATACCTTGCTCAATTGTACTATTTTAAATAACGTAAGAGTTGTAATTGAAAATAACAAAACAAATTTATGCTTGTATTTTTTGTTGTTTAAAAATACATACCTTGACCTTGCCATACTTTTGAAGGTATTACTAATATTTTGTCACAGGATGCAGAAGGCTGGATCCACCGCCAAACTAGAAAATCTGCACCACCTATTCTTCGTGTTTCTGTACGAACTCTCGACTCGTTAGCAGCAAGGAAGTCAACGGCTCTATCCCAGACTTTCTTCATTCTTTTCCTATTATAGCAACAAAATGATTATCATCTTGGCTTATCATTTTTTTCAAATATTAATAACTGAAGGTAGTGTTATTGTTAATTCTGGCTGTTCTTAAGGAGTTTTTCAAAAAAAGATTTAGATGCCTGAACTTCACTCACCTCAGATTTACTGAATTTCAAACTCTAGAGATAGACCATAAGCATCAGTATGTTTTCCTCCCTAAAATTTCCACTCGACCTTAATGTGTTACAAGGGTTAAGAAAGTTGCTTTAGCATATGGCATCACAATTATTTTCAAGAAGTTATTGGTTCTCTTATTTTAAAAGCTTTGTTAACAAGATTAAGTATTTAAAAATATAACTAATAAAACTTCACTGGCTACTATCTCTGTTTCTTTATCAAGATGAAAGTAAAGGAAATAAGGTAGAAATTGACAAAAAAGAATCAGATGTAACAAAATGAGAATGATTTAGAAATCTAATTGTCTATTTTGCCACTCAAAATCAGGAAGGTAACAGAAGAAAACTTAGAAAGAAGAGTTAAGTACAAAAATAAAGCCTGCACAGTAAAACAGGTTTAGTTGAGAAGGGTCACAACTCGAAATAATTTTTCACAACTACAGAAAACACCAACATTCTTATTTACTTTAACTCATAATGCTTTGAACACACCTGTCATGAGGCAGTATTAAGGAATCTCGAACATGTGGAATAGGCATGAAAGGTTGTAAATCTTTGTTTTCCTGGCAAGCTTCATTATGACTTCGTAAAACATCTGAAAATAAATCAACACATTTACAAATGAATCAATCACTGATTATCATGTTATAGTTTATCACGTAATGACTATTCTAGAAATAGTTTAGATTTTTTTTATTTTTACTTTTTGTTAATCCTCACCTGAGGATATTTTTCCATTGCTTTTCAGAGAGAGTGGAAGGAAGGGAGGGAGGGGGAAAGGAAGAGAAGGGGGGAGGGGGAGAGAGAAAGAGAGAAATCGAGGTAAGAGACACATGAACTGGTTGCTTCCTGCACATGCCCCAACAGGGGGTGGGGAGGGAGCAAACACACAACCCAATGCCCTTGACCGGGAATCAAACCCGAAACCCTTCGGTGCCTGAGCCAATGCTCTAACCACTGACCATGGCAACAGTTTAGATTTCTAAAAATACTATACCTATAATCTTTATCACCATATCATACATCTGTCTTGTTTCCTCTTCCTCTTTTGTCCAGCGATATTTCATGTAACGCAGAACAACACAAACCATCACTACACCTGTAATATTCATATATTTTGCATTTTAAAAATTTGTGGTCAATGGCATTCAATAACATTCATTGCGAAAAACAAGAAAAGAAAACTCATGACAGTTTCTACAGTGATTATTTTAACTGCCATAATGGGATAATGGAATGTGCCTTCAAGAGAGTGGGTTGAATTAGCTACATAATTAAAACTATAGAAAATTTTAATATTAAACATAATTCAGAGTTTAACTTAATCTCACTTCTTTTGTTATGTTGACAACTGAACTTTTCTTTTTAATTTTTACGTTTTTTAATGTTTTAAAAATTTGTTAATAAGTGCAACATTTAAATTCTAGCTATTAATTTTTTGAAAACAAAATAAAAACTGTTTCACACACTTTTTTCCTTTGCAGCTTTAAACTACTAGAAAAGTGAGTCTATTGGGATTAAACATACTATACCTTACATTTTAGGTAAATTAACTTATTCTTGAGGGACTTGGACAGAAAAATAATCTCATAAATTCCTATTTTCAATCAAAATACTCATATAAAATCTAGGAACCTAAATGAAAATTTTAATTCAGGTAATATTTTTAAAATAAAAAATAATTTTAATAAACATACATACCTT